CACAGCCCTGGCTGAGGGCTGAGTGTACGGATGTGGCCGGGGGCAGAGGGAAAAGCTGTGCCTTTTCTTCGATAGTGTGAAATGGCCCCTGGAGACAGTCTGGTGGGACAAATTCCAGCTGGTGAGGGTGGGAAGGGAGGGCAAGGAGCGGCACATGAATAAAGGACCGTGGTTTTGTTGGCCTTGGAGTTTTCTAGGGCAGAGCTGCCTGTGCCAGCCTGTCATAGCTGCATTGCTGTGCTGTCCTGCTTTATAATGTTTATATTTATTTCCCTTATTCTTCCAGTACTTTTTTGAATACTTTAATGTCCACCCCTTTCCATTGCTCTTCTTCCCTCTGGTATCCCATTGTAATAAAATCACAACTGTGCCAATCACAAAAGATCCCGAACAGAAGAATTAATGCTTTTACAGGAGGTCCCTTTTTTAGTCTTTTTAAAAAGGCATTTCTTTTCTTTAAAATTAAAGATGAGGCATTTTCTTTTTTTCCTTAAACTTTACTGTCACTTTTTATTAAGTCAAAATGATAGTTACAGTCAGAGGAAAGTAGGATATGAATTCCTGGTGCAGCCATTTTTAAAGTGTGCTTTGTTTTAAAGCCCTGAAGATTGATTGAAGGTATTTTTCTTTTAGACGTGGAGCTTTAGTCAAAGGGGGCCTGATCTGAGTTACCCTCTGTAAATCAGGATTAGTTCCTGTGAAATCAATGGAGTTACAATGATACAATACAGGGCGAGTTGGAAAAGACTCATGCCCCGAGAATGAATAAGGGAGGGACTGTGGGTGATCCCCTGAATGCTGCGCTTGTGAGAGGGGGCGAAGCCACGAGGCGAAGCAGAATTATACACTGTCCCTATCGGGCTACCATGAAAGGGACTGGGTGAGAAATGGGCATGTGGCAGTGGGTTTGTGCTCACATGGGTGCTGCGGTTGCAAATCTCAGCTCTAGGGACATATGGAGTGCACAGACCTCTGGCTTTACCCAGAAGGAACAGCTCTTTGCCAGTCCCTTTGCCACCGCCGCTGCGCTCAGGGAGGCCCATGAGCTAAGAGAGCCTGATTTAAGAGACAAGAGGATGGTGGCAGAAGTGGTGCTCTACAAAATAACTGCCTCTGGAGCATATTTCACTGCATCCAATGGAGCCTGAATTTGTTGACTTTTTTTTGGCAGAGGGCCAGAGGGATCCACTGTGCAGAGCAGGAGAGGGGAGAGAGGTGCCCCATCACTGGGCCTTGGGACTGACTGTGCAGAGGTGCAGAAGACAGGCTTTCGTGAGGGAGAGGACAGAAAAACCTGGATGGATAATCTTATTGGACATTTTTATCCCTTTTTTTTCAAAGTGTCTGCATTGTGGGGTGTGGGAAATAGCTAAGGTGGTAAAGGTATATCAAGATGAGCAAATAAAGAATTGAAACGATACGTCCTGTCTGAGATTTGAGTTTAACCAGAGATTCAAGTTCTTGTCTCTCATCTGGACTGAAACCTTGACAGCTGATTTCTTGAGTCCTAAGCCATTTTGACCAGAAAGTCTAATAAGAACAGCTCTTTTTATAGCATTTAACTGTGACTAAATGGCTTAATGCTAGGGCAAGTCCCAGCAGTACAAACCACCGCTAGCCTGGGCTGTGCTGAGGACAGGCAGTGTTTTAGCAATCTGGCTGAGGACTGGTCGTAAGCACTGGTCACACTCCAGCCTTCACAGTGAAAATCTGCAGCCTGAGCAAAATTGGAGCCTTGAGTTTGGCCATCTCCAGTAAAATTAAAACATTTACACTTCATAGCTATCTGCTGGACTCTCCCAGGCAGTTACTAGTTTGCTCTTGGCATACAATTGACCTGCTCTTGCACATGGCACTGCTTCATATTTGGAGTATGTTTTTCTTAGAAATAGAGTTGCAGCAGCTGGGAATAGCAATTACCGAGTTAGAGTCTCTCTTAAAATACTGAGAAAAAAAATGAGCAAGGCAACCTGGGAAGGGGCAGGTTGAAGGAGTAACCTTTTGCAATGCTTTCCACTGTCTGAATATTGTTCAGCGAGTGCTCTAGGGCTCTGGCTTCTGTTGCCCTGTGTCAAGCTGGCATTTGCCCATTGACTCTGTCTCCAGTAGACACCAGTTCAGGGCTGCACATGACACTGCTTTTGTTCAACTTCCCAGCACATGAGAGCTCCACACATTTGATGGATGCAATTGGATGTAAGAGATATGGGACACAGGCAAGGATACAAGTTTTTTATCATGTTTCTTTTTCATGTTTATTTTGTCATATATGACTTTCCACTTCGCATCAAGTTTGAAACCATTATTTTCATGCACACTTTGGATTTACCTATGACAACAAGGAAGAAGAAGATGAAACTTTACCCCAAATACTGGTTACAGCTTTCTAAGGAACACTGAAGTCTCTTGGACTATGGTAAAATCTCCCAGGGAAAGTGGCAGAAATCCAGCTACTTGGCACATTTTACAGCTAGTCCAGACAAAACACTAGTAAATGTACTCTGCTTTGGCACAGAATAGACTGTGGGATGTTATGAAGCTTTCCAGTATGCAACTTTTTATTGTTTCATGACCCTGATGAGTGTGAAACTTGAATTTACTCATCTGCTGATTGTAGACCACATAGGGCCTTAGAGGAGCATGGGACCCTACCATGTATCTTTAAGTTGTTTTTTTTTCACCTAACTTGAGATCATTGTTTGGATGCTTAGTACATGAAAATGGCCATATTGGCTCACACTAAAAGTCTGTTTAGTTTAGGACGTTATTTCTAGGATTAGCCAGTAATGGCTGCACTGGGAGGAGTAGAACATGCATAAAGTGAGATTTCCATGACTCTATTCCAGTTTCCAGCAAGGATATCTGACAGTGAAGAAGTCCTTCTGTCTTTTGTGTGTTTCCCACAACAACCATCTCCTATCTAAGGAAAGTTTGGCTTTGTCTCTTCTGGAACTATAAGTGGATCTGAGAGCTATACAAAATGCATCTCCCTGGGGTTCACATCTCTGTGCTGTGTTTCACTTCTGGATCTGTACTGGGAAAAAAAAAAAAGATCATTTAAACCAACGGCTGAAAATATAATCCAGTGCTTCATCATCAATAATTTTCATTACAGCATGACTTGCACAACATCTCCATCATCTGAGATGCCACAGTACCCAGTGGTGTACGCCCTGCGGTATGCTTGTGCTTAATGACTAAATGCTGTGCTGGCCTTAGCTTTGAATGATTTCACATCTCTTACTGCTGCCAGTCTCATTTTTTAATTTAACATGATATTTGCTGTGCTTAAAAAAAAAAAAAAAAAAAAAAAAAAAAAAAAAAAAAAAACCTCCATAATGAAGCACTGTAGAACCTCCTTTGGAGAACAGGAGGGGATTTTATACATACTGGAATAAAATCTGTATGTATATTAGGCTGGAAAAAATGTGAAATGCTGTAATCTCTCACTCACACTAGTTGGGAAACCAACTCCCCAGAACTACCCCAAATCCTGAATGCCAATGCTATTTTCAGTCACTGGTATGTAGCTGCTGCTGAGGACATGCATAATGGATGTACTGGCAACTCATCTTTATGCCAGTGTTTAAAATCACAGAGAAATACAGATAAGAATAAAACACAGGATCCATCTTTCATACCAGCCGTCTCCCACTGCTGCTGTAAGCAGTCCTTTATTGCTCCTGTGATGCCCAAAGACCTTTAAAAACTTCTTCCAGCTCCTCAATGTTGCAATATTGTTCCCTATATTGGGGTTTGCTCCATGCCATGAGCCTGTCGTTGTGTATCAGTGCCTCCTGCTACCAGCCACCAGCCTGACCACTTCAGCTCACTGAAGGTGTTTTGGAGACTCCGACAAAGATATAGAGGAGTTGGGCACTGCAGGTGTTGACTGTTACACTGCATTTATGAATCACTACACCCACAGGAACTGAAAATCTTATTTGTGAATTTGATCAGAATCAGCTTTATCTCTAGATAAGATTTCAGGGTAGGAGACTCCATTTGTTTGGAAACACGTATTTGCAATAATAGAACAAAGTTACATAGGAAAATACAATATGCACATCAGTAAGATTAAATTTGGCAATGCAGATTTGCCTAAGCTGCAGCAGCATCTTGGGGAGCTTGTGGCATGGGCTAATTAATCCTTTATCCCCTGCCTCAGGCCTGGTAGGCTCAGGGGAGTTTTTAGAGCTATATCTTTTGTGCTGCTATTGTTAAAAATGTTCACGTAGGAAAGGCATGACTTTCCTCTCTGCTAGGCGGAGAGTGAGTGCTCCTTCTCTTTCTTTAGCTGTGCCTCAGCTCTTGTGACTGGGAGCTATAGCATCCCATGGTAATGCAGGCAATTGACTCACTTCTCACCATTCTCCCCATTAAGGTCTTTTAATTTTTATGTTACCTTAATTAGCACTTTCCTGGCAACACCTTTAAATTGACTTTTCTTGTTTCAAGACATTTAAAACAGCAGTGGTAAAATATGTGTCTCCTATTAGAACAGTATTAATTGCACAAGTGTTCTTGTGATGACTGATGTTGACCTTTCCTTAGCGATCTCTTAAATGTAGTATGACATTTAAACATGGACACATCATGAAACCGAGGTGTGAGGTGTCCACACTGGGGGACAAATTTACATATGGAGTATCTGAGATTTAGTATTGTCAGCACTGCCCATTGCACACCAGCTGCTGTATGAGGACATTTACCCCCAAAGATACAGAGGTATATATTTAGGGAGCTGTGTACTTCCCCTCTCTTTGAAGTTAGAAGCCTAAATACAGTTGTAAATTAGATCTTTTTTGTGTGTGTTTGTTGAATATTATCTTGTGTACTTAGCACAAGTGGGGTTGGCATGAAAGGGGAACCTCCACCCTTCTCTACCCTTGTTACACAATCTGGAAAAGCATTAGTCTTTCTGAAAGTGGAATTATTTGTATTTCAGGTATCCTCCCTGGGCCTACCTTGGAAGCTAGATCTGCAACCACCCTTCAGTCATGGTTGTTTCAAGATTAAAGGCCATTTCCCTGTCATTGCCAAGCCTTTTTCTTCTTGCTTTTCATCTCTCAGCATCACAGAATGTACCTGAATACTCTGAAGCTGAACATCAGCAATGTGTCAGGAAAGAACACCCCACAATTGCTTTTGAAGGTAAGAACTTCTATTCCTGTTTCAAGCTCCAGTAGAATGATCTATTTTGAAGTCCTTCCTGGTGTTGTTGTGGATGATGGTTGAGTCTGTGCTGTTTTCCTTACACCTGGGATCCACAGGCCAGTGCAAGTGGCCTGATGAGCCAAGTCATATTCTCTTTGATGCCTGACAGTGTTTTAACTCTGAGGTTTCACCATATTAACTTATTTCAGGCACTTCTGGGATCACTAGTCTAAGAATCTCCATTTCCAGATCTGCTGCAGGCTCCCTGTAATCTTGTGCCACACTGGAACTGTGTATAAGTTTCCTTTTCTCTGACTGGATTCAGTAGTGCTTGTATACCTCACCTGGCTGTCTGGATCCAAACAATAATTGAAAAGTGATAGAGAATTTGGACATACTTGGATGCAAGAAAAGTAAATTGTTTTAAAATTTAAGGGAGTGGCTGCCTTTTCATTTGTTGCTTTTTTGTTTGTTTTTGTAATGTATTGTCCCTGCTAGTAGTTTTTCTGTCTTTCATCCAGGCATTTAGCTTGACAGGGTCTTAAGAATGTGAGAGGGGGCCTTTGTGTTGCAGCATCCTGCCAAGTGTGGGCAATCTTTTTCCTGTTCTTTTGCAACGCAGAATTTGTCTTGTCCTTATCCCAGTTGGATTTTCTGTGAGTGTCCATGTACTCCTAAATTGCTCTCTGTCCAATGTGTCCACTTACCCACATGACAGTTAGATCATTATATTGGTACCACCATTATTTCTGAATTCACCCCAGGCTAGTGTGTTAAGCTCAGTGTGCCAGCATCATCAGCTGCCGAGTCTCCTTGCTAAAAATGGTTTCCTTCTAAATGTTGAAATATCGATTTTGGCTCCCATTTAAGGCCTTGCAATGCATCTCCAGTTACATTCTTCACTAAAGGCAATTAAGTACCTTGCAATGTGTCTCTAGTTAGGTTCTTTGCTAAAGGCAATTTAGTTGTGGTTTTGTGACCTTTGAGATAGGGTTTCCAGGAAGAAAGTAGTCAAAGACTTCCTTGCTGACCTTTCAGGGTTCTTCTAGAGAGCTTTACTCTTCTTCACAGAGGAGGAAACTCTTGTCTCTTAATTTGGAAAGTGTAAGAGATTTCTTGTCTGTTTTCCATTATCTGTGCTTTAAAGGTTTAAGTGGATTAAAGTAAATTAGCAAAATATTTGAGCCTACATGATATGCCACTAGCTCTAACCTTGCTCCAGTGGAATGGATAAATAAACCTTGATTTTAATTGCTAAATAAGTCTAACCATCTGTGTAACTGGGCAGAGGTGAAGGGAGAAACCCTTGTGGTTAAAAAGGTGGTGCAACTCAGTTGGATATTTAAAAAGATAATGCAATAATGGTGATGTTATAGGTACAGAAAAGAGAAAAAGTGTGCGATGTTTCTATTAACCAGGAGCACCACACTTTGAGTTTACAGAGGATGTGTTTACAGGATCCAGCAGAGTCCCAATTCCTGATGTTGAGGAATAGATGAGCATTTTTTGACACTCAATGTGAGTGCTTTTTTGCAGAAGTGATGGCTACGTAAACACACTCATAATCTGCCAGTTTGCTTTGTTTTAATCAGGCAAGAATTTTTCACAGAAAAAAAAAAAATCTCTCCTCCCCTTTCACTGTTCTCATTCCCTTCCTCTCTTTAATGATAGAGGGCAAAAACTGGTATGAGTTAATTAGAACTTGACAATTATACAAAAGAAATAAAGATTGAAATTGCAGACACGTCAAGAAAATGACTGAGATTATCATTTGGGTCTCTTAAATCCAAGTTAGATTCAGAGTTATTGTTTTCTCAGCACCTGTTTCCTTGTGATTGTTCATGATACAATTTAATCCTATATTTTCTACTGCAAAGCTCAGGTGGAAAATACACAAGAATAAAATTAAAGGCACCTTATTTCCACTGCACACAGTATTTAAGTTCTATGGAAGAGAGGGCTCACACCTCCAAAACCACTTCTCAGTTTGTAATGTAATTTACCTTAAAGCTATACCCTGTTCTGACACCAGCACAAGCAGGTAAAGGGTGCAAGGGGAGACAAGCAAGGGAATCTACAGCTTATGTGCTGTTCCAAATTGCTCTGAGGATGTCTCTGCTTAGCAGTGTGGCTCATGGGCTTCCTGTGGGTCTCCAAATACATCGTCCCATGGATCACAGCCTGCTGTACAATGGGAATGCAAAAGGGTGACCCCAGCAGCAGCAGCTCTGCTGATGCTCCTGCTGCCAGGGGAGAGGATTATGTTACAGCAACAATTTTCAGTGGATGGGCGGTAATAATAAGTAAGGCCTCAGACCATTCAGTCATACAGGATGCATTAATTTACTGCCAGAATGAACAGATGAACAAAACAGTTTATGTTACTAAGGGGTTGAATAGCTTCTTTTTCACAACCTTGCCAGCCAGGCTTCCCATCGCAATACAAAGGGGATGGCGTAACATGTTTTGTGTTCTCCAGTCTTCAGTTCCTACCTTGCCTGTGCTCAGCCTCTCTTTTTGTTGTACTTTTCCTCCAAATTATGATATTCTTAACATCCAATTGGCTGGATAATATCCAAGTAAAACACCCTTCTTTCTAATTTTTAACTTCTTTCCTGAGAAATTCTGTATTTTCTGTGCCTCATCTCTTGCTTATTGTATCTCATCCACATTAGTCAGCCTCCTGTTTGAATTGATATCTCTTTGCATTGCTATGGGAGGGCTAAGAAGGAGAGAATACAGTATATGACCTACTCATTTAAGCAGAAAGGAGTTTACATATGCAGAATGCTTTTACTTCAGCTGGTTTTGGACCTGAAGAAATGCCTGCTTCCTTACAGAGTCCATTCCCCAAACCACTTGCCATTACTTGTGACCTAGAGAAAATGGTTTAGACAAGTTGAGAGACCTAAATTTTGGACCTGAACATGCTTAGTTTACATGCTTAGGATCAACTTTGCAGTGCCAGGGCTGGGAAGGGGCTGTGGGCTGAATGATTTGAACTAGCAGACTACATAGAGATCGTGAGGGACAGGTTAGGAATTCGTGCTGACTGTCATCCTGTGTGTTTGCACAGTACCAAAACTATCACAACAGTGTCCCAGTCTCCCTGAGGCTTATATGTGATGGTCTTTGTACAGTTCACCAACAATAATAACATACCCAGTTTAGGCTTTTCATAATTAGATTGTTGTACTCTGTGCTTATAGGAAATCCAGTTAAAGTTTTATTTCCCTTGTTAGATCAATAAGAAAATGATCTTTTACTTCCCAGAAGCCTGTTTCTAGTGTCTCATTACCTGTTTGGCTGTGAGTGGGTATCTACATTAAGGACCTTGCATGCTTGTTTGTTTTTCAGTGAGATGAGAAATTAGTGTAACAAGTCAGGTATATCCTTAGTGCATCCTTTTTTATTTATACATGCATGTACACATGCATCCAAGTCCTGTTTCACTAAACAGTATGTCATGCTGGCACAGCTCCACTGTGGACCACTCTGGTAAGCCAAACACTAGAGAAACTCTTTCTAGTTCCTGTCAGTCATGCTCATCTTTCTTGTCTTTTCCATATCTGATGATAACCAACAGATTAGTCCCTGTATTTACAACTGGCTATGCCCTTGCCAGACTGTCCTTGTTCTTAGCAGTATCCTTCATTGTTATACAGCTGTTTCTTAGGCATAAAGCACCTTTCTATTAATTAAAAACATTTGGAGTTCCTTTGTTACATGCCCTTTGGGAAAGCCAGAAACATCTTCTGCCATGGCAATACCATGTAAGATTTGTCATTTTGAGAGCCAGAGCCATGACTGACATGCATGTATGTTTGTAATAGGTGCACGGTGCTTGGTTTCAGCTAGTTTACCAAGGAATTGCTTAAAAGTTTGCAAACTCATCTGTGTTATATGAATCACTTGGATGTTCACAACTTAACTGGAAATGAGCTGTAGACAGGTTTCCACTTGTGTTTCTACCGTTATTTATTTCTCATTAGTTTTATCCATTAAATCGCTATGCTCAGGAAAAAGTATGATAAACTTCCCAAGTTCCTCTCTGTTCTGTCTCCTGGGGGTTTCTCCCCTGGGTCATGGCAGTTAGTATAAGCTGGAAGAACATCATTTGTCCCTGTTTTAATAATTACAGCCTGTCTTCATCCATAAAAACACCTCAGCTGATCCTATGCTGTAGCATAGGAGAGAGGTAGACTTGGTTAATTAGGTTATATCCCAGATCTTCTCGGGACTGCAAATCTTAACTGTGCAGGCTGTGTCATCACGGCTGGTGTGAGATCTCAGTGTGCAGCATTTGACCCATTGTCTAATCCTCAGTGTCTCCCGTTGCTCTGTCTGTTGCCTCAGGTTTTCAAAATGGATCAGTTTGAGAGTGTTTAAATCTGGGATTTTACTTCAGACTGTCTGTAATTATTACCTCCTACCAGATGAATGTGATTCGGGTTGCTTGAATTGAGCTTGCTGTATATTTTCTCAGTATTTTCTTTCTTTAAACAACATTTTATTGAAACATGGCCAGCTTCAAACACTGAAATCTGTGGGGAGCAGTTGAGTGTTCACTTGTTGTATTCAAAGCAAAAGCTTTTTTAACTTTGTTGGCTGCAAGATAATAGGATATGATTTATTTCTTTTGAAGGTTCTTGACATTTTACCAAACACCCCCACTATTGTTGAATTGGTCACTAATACATAATTCCCTTTACTGTATATTGATGGAAAAAAAGCACATTAGCATCCATCAACTCCAAAGGCCAGCTAGGAAAGCCCCTTAGGAAATTCTGATGAAGTTTTACGCTTTTCTTGAACAAGTGAGATTTTGACAATCCAACACAAATTTTGGTTAACAAAGGATGAAGATTGTGAGGTGAAGTATAAGAGGTTTATCTGGCTAAACATCAAAGGGGAGGCAAAATACATTATGGGAAAGTTGTCTTCTAGCTCGTAGCCTTGCTGCCCTTGAATCTCTATACAGGGAGTCCAAACATTAA